TCGGCATCGGCCCAACATAAAATTAGGCTAAAACTAACCCATAGATAGCTAGTTACTGTGTTGTGTGTACAGTAACCAATGAATTATAATGACAATATGAGGATAATTTCCAGAGCATCTAACTAAGGATAATGAATAAAATAGAAAGAATAAAACTCAGTAAAGGGCTGGCCATAACAATAGGGTTGGCTGAAATGCATTGTGTAAGAAGATGCATGTGTGTGTTCATGTTAAAATCATGTGACTCTATTGGGATTTGATGACATATGTGTGCTGGAATTGAGAATGCATGTTTGTGTTCATGTTAAAATCATGTAACTCTATTGGGATTTGATGATATATTACGTAATGGAATTGAGAATGCATGCGTGTGTTATGTTAAAACCATGTACTCTACTAGGATTTGATGATATATTATATGCCTAAATTAAGAATGCATGTGTGTGTTCATGTTAAAACCATGTAACTCTATTGGAATTTAATGATATAGTATGTGCTGGAATTGAAAATGCATGTGTGCGTTTCATAGTGTTGGAATTGAAAATGCATGTGTGTGTTTTATAGTGAATTTGTGATTTGCTACTGAAATTGAGTTGTCTGTATAATTAATATGCACTATCGAAAGTGTGTTCTGTAGCCAATTTATGATTCGCAGTAGAAAGTGAGTTTACTATAGTGAATTTCAATTTCGCTGCTGAAATTGAGTTATTTGTAGCAAATTAACATTCGCCGTCAAATTGTGTGTTCTACAGTGAATTTGGGATTTGCTGCCGAAGTTGTATTGTCTAAAATGAATTTGAAATTCATTGTCGATGTTTAACATTCGCTACTGAATTATGAGTTCCACAATAAATTAGGGATTTGCTGCTAAAATTGAGTTGTTTTGCGGTGAATTAACTTTCGCTATCGAATTATGTGTTCTAAAGTGAATTTGAGATTCATTGCCAAAGTTGTATTGTCTACCATGAATTTGAAATTTGCTGCCAAATTATATGTTTTGCAGCAAATTTTGGATTCACTGTTGAAGTTAAATTGTCTACAATAAATTTGTAATTCGCTGCAGAAATTGAGTTGTTTGCTGCGAATTAACATTCATTGCCCAATTGTGTGTCCTGCAATGAATTTGAGGTTCGCTGCCTAAGTTGTATTGTCTGCACTGAATTTGAAATCCAATGCCAAAATTTAGTTTTTTGCAGTGAATTAACATTTGTTGCCTAATTATGTCTTACAATAAATTTAGGATTCATTGTTGAAGATGAATTGTCTGCATCGAATTTGTAATTCACTGCTAAAAATTGAGTTGTTTGCTGCGAATTGACATTCGTTGTCAAATTGTGTGTTATATAGTGAATTTGAGATTCATTGCCAAAGTTAAATTGTATGCAGTGAAATTGTAATTCGCTAACAAAATTGAGTTGTTTGCAGCAAATTAACGTTTGCTGCCGAATTTATGTATTTTACATTGAAATTATAATTCACTTTCGAAGTTGTATTTTCTGTAGTGAATTTATAACTCGCTATTGGAATAGAGATGTCTACAACAAATTAGCATTCATTGTTGAAAACATGTTAGCTGTAATGAAGTAGCATTCACCACCGAAATTATGGCGCTAGCAGTGAAACATTTTTTGCTACTTAATTGCGCAGCCTGCAGTGAACAAGTTTTCGCTGCCAAACTGTCTGGCCTGCAGCAAGTCAATTTTCGCTATTGAAACAATCAAAGGATTGATGTCTTCTCCCAAGTGCAGAAGTACTAAAGTAATAAA